CACGTGCATGGAAACAGTTCTTGTTGGTAATTTTATTTATTGGTCCAGTTTTCATAATCCCTCAGGCCTCTGGCCCACTCACCCCTTTCCCAGAAGTGCTCCCTGGTGACGGCTCACTGTTCTCCCTGTGACTTCTGCTGGGTTCATTTTATCCAGGCCAGAGCGATAGGAGGCCATGAATTATGTACAAGTTGCACATGCAGATCAGGGTGTGTTTTGCATTCCTGTGTCTGTGAGCATTTAAATAGCAAGAGAATCAGCCTGCTGGGTCCTGGGACCAGAGACCATCCCCCTCCCCAACCGCATCCCAGAGGCCTGCAGGGTATTAGGTTTGGCCTCTGGGGATGTGTGGGGGGCACATGTCATGAATTCCCCCTCCCCAGCTTATCTGTACTGCTGGGGTCCAACAGGGTTTGCCCACATGCAGGGGACTCTGGCCTGTGTCCCTCATAACTGGGAATTGGGGGGAGGGGGACACTGGGCCTGAGGGGGCAGAACAAGGCTGTCACCTCTCCATCCCCTCTACCTCCCAGTTGGTGCCAGGAAATGTCAGTCAGGGCAACTCCGATTTCTGGCATGGATGTGACTTTATCTCAACGGGGCCTGGGGCTCCTGCTCTGGGGGGCCTGGAAACTCTCTCACACACACAGTGCTTGGTCAAAGCTGCCCTGCCCAGGATGGGGTGAAAGGGTGCAGGGCTGGGCTATGCCCAGCATCCTTTCCCCCAGAGATCCATGGGTCCCTCTCAATGCCATTGTTCCTGAGTGGCTCCCAGATGGTGTCCTAGAGCCACCAGGGTTGGGGTTGAGGGCAGGCAGCTGGGCTCGGCTGGTACCTGGAGGCACCATAGACGTTTCCTCTGCGTGGGTTAGTATGGGGGCAGAGGAGGAGGGGCAGGGAGCAAGCAGAGAGAGGCTATAATGGAGGATCGGTGTAAACTTGAGCAGTTTATTGAGAAAAGAGTCCAGTGAGCATCAATTCTTCACCGTCTTTAAAAGGCCCGACACCTGGGTTCCTGTCCCAGATCCAGGCGGTTTCTGACATGGCCACCCTAAGGCTCAGCCTAGGCCCGTGGTCGGCAAACTGCGGCTCGTGAGCCACATGCGGCTCTTTGGTCCCTTGAGTGTGGCTCTTCCACAAAATACCACGTGCGGGCGCGCACGTATAGTGCGATTGAAACTTCGTGGCCCATGCACAGAAGTCGGTATTTTGTGGAAGAGCCACACTCAAGGGGCCAAAGAGCCGCATGTGGCTCGGGAGCCGCAGTTTGCCGACCACTGGCCTAGGCCAACCTTGCAAGGTTGGTGTGAGGTCAAATCAAACTGCCCAGCGGGTGGGACACCCAATAGGGTGCCTGACACATAGTAGGCCACTGATTGGCAGAGAGGATCTCATTCCAGCCCAGAGCAAAGAAATTGGTTTTTTAGATACTTCACCTGTGGTCTCTCTAAGCAGGAAGGAGGACATTTCTGTTGAGCTCCTTGAATGGTCAGAACAGCTTGGATATGTTCTCAAGCTATGACTCCAGCAGAGGACCCTCCACATCACTGGGGCGTGGGGGAACCTCCCTCGGGGGCCAGGCAGCCCTGGGTGTGAGTCCTGACTCTACATAGTGGCCTATGACCTCGGGCAGTGATGGCGAACCTATGACACGCGTGTCAGAGGTGACACGCGAACTCATTTTTTTGGTTGATTTTTCTTTGTTAAATGGCATTTAAATATATAAAATAAATATCAAAAATATAAGTCTTTGTTTTACTATGGTTGCAAATATCAAAAAATTTCTATATGTGACACGGCACCAGAGTTAAGTTAGGGTTTTGCAAAATGCTGTATCAAAAATAGTCTTTGTTTTACTCTGGTTGCAAAGATCAAAAAAATTCTATATGTGACACGGCACCAGAGTTAAGTTAGGGTTTTTCAAAATGCTGACACGCCGAGCTCAAAAGGTTCGCCATCACTGACCTAGGGTAAGTCCCTAATCTCCCTGTACCTGAAAAGGGAGGTAAGGGATACCTAACTCTCAGCTCCGTGAGACTCAGATGAGAAATTATCTATAAAACTCTACTGGGGAGCCCAGCTGGCATGGCTCAGTGGTTGAGCATCGACCTATGAACCAGGAGGTTGTGGTTCAATTCCCAGTTGGGCACATGCTGGGTTGAGGGCTCGAGGAGGGCATACAGGAGACAGCTGGTCAATGGTTCTCTCTCATCATTGATGTTTCTACCCCTCCCTCCCTCTCCCTTACTCTCTGAAACCAATAACAATATATTTAAGAAAAGAAAAAAATTCTACTGGGGAAAAAGAAGCAACTGATACACAGTAGGTTCTTGATGGAGTCTGGGGTGAGAGACGTGGGGTGCAGGCCGGTGGCTCAGGAAGCCAGGCCTGGGTTCCCCATGCGGGTGATAGGCAGGCTCTGTGAGGACAGTCAAGTGGCACCTCGTTTGCTTTCCTTCTTGGGACAGCTGGCTAATTAGCCTCTGAGTATTCCTGACAAGTGCCCATGTGCACGTTCCTGACATGTCAGAGTCAGCCCTTGCCAGACCATGTGGTGCTCAGCTGACCAGCCTTGGACACGAAGGAATCCAGAGAAGGATTCCTGGTGTCAGGGGCTCACGCTGCAGCCTCCTCCTGCGGGCCTCAGGCTTCAGTCCGGTCACAGGATGCTTACCATCTTCTTGCGGGTTGTGATCACCCCCCAGGCCCACACTGCTGGGGCTGGTAGCACTGAGGGCTGCAGGGAAGGAACTAGCCCCTGCTCAGTTAAGAATAGAAGGCTTTTGTGTGACTTAAGTAGCAGCCTGATCATATCAGGCCTCCCAGCCAGGCCCCAGGTAGCTTATCGAGGAGGATCTGGTGCCATCGTGGGTCCTCCTGGGTGGAGGAGGAGAAGGGGGGTTGAGGTGCTGCGGGGCTTTCCCTGGACTTCTCTCTCATTTCCACGTGATGATGATTTTTTTCCATCAAGTAAGGCTCATTGCTCCTCCCTTCTTCTCCCTGGGGCTGGCTGGGGATCATCACCAGCATTCCTGGGGGAAAATCTCTTCTGGGAAGAGTTCAAACAAACAAACAAACTGGCTTCTGAGAGGAACAGATTGGTGAAAATGGCTTTGTCTTCAAGGAGAAAGCCAATGGTGGCAGCCATTTATTAAGCGCCGACGGTATGCTAGACCCTGAGCACAGCGTTTTGTGTCCTTGACTCATCTAACACTCACTAGGGTGCTGTGGGCGGTGTCCTAGTCCCACGATGCAGTTGAGGACCCTGACATCCAGCTAGCACATGGCAGACCTGGTATTGGAACCAAGGACTGTCCCGCCTCATTACTTTTGGGGGCAAAAGATTCCTGAGTCAGGGGAAGAGGTGCGAGTCAGAATCCTTAGAGCAGTGATGGCGAACCTTTTGAGCTCGGCGTGTCAGCATTTTGAAAAACCCTAACTTAACTCTGGTGCCGTGTCACATATAGAAATTTTTTGATCTTTGCAACCATAGTAAAACAAAGACTTATATTTTTGATATTTATTTTATATATTTAAATGCCATGTAACAAAGAAAAATCAACCAAAAAAATGAGTTCGCGTGTCACCTCTGAGACGCGTGTCATAGGTTCGCCATCACTGCCTTAGAGAGAGCCCTGGGCATGGAGGACGCAGTTGCTCAGTGCAATAAATCATGCTTTACCTTATGCTGGAGTTCGTTCCACTAGTAAGAGGAACATCACAGGGTTGGGAAGAGGAATTATGATCCTATCACAAACAGAGCAGGTACAGATGCCTGTCTGTGGAGTTGAAATGGAACCAAACTTCCTCTGTGATGTAGGAAGAAACTGCTCCGGGCAGGATCATGAGGCTGCAGCTCCTGATTCCTAGTCCTCCTCTCTGGTGCCCCCCTCTCACCCTCCCCTCAGAGATTATTCCCAGTGTGAGAATGGAAAGGAATTCTGAGTCACCTTCTGTTAGTCTAGATGGGAAGACTGAGGCCCCAGAAGGACAGGGACTGGCCCAAGGTCACACAGTAAATGGGCCTGGGAACACATAGTAGGTGTTCAAGAAATCCCTTCCTCTGGGCCAATGCCGGCTCCCCTGTGGGGCACTGCTTTTGTGCAGAGACGTGGAGGGCCTGTGATGGGCTGGGAGATGGAGTCCGCTGGGTCCTGGGAGGGAGGCAGGGCCCAAAGGCTAGCACGTGTCTACAGTGCCCCAGACTCATCTATGCTCACCCAAACCCTGCTCAACTCAAATGCCCCTTTTCTGTAAAGCCTGCTTGGACTCCTCTCCCTAATACCCCTCCTAATCTCTTTCTACCCCAAGAATGGGAAATTTTTTTAAACTGTGGTAAAAAGCACATAACACAAAATTTACCATCTTAATCATTTTTGTGTGTGCAGTTCAGTGTGTTAACTGTGTTCACATTGTTTCACAGAAGTTCACAGAATTTTTTCATCTTGCAAAACTGAAACTCTATACTCATTAAACAACAATTCCTTCCTCCACCCCCACCATCTCCTGGCAACCACCATTCTACTTTCTGTTTCTATGACTTTGACTGCTTTGGATACCTCATATACATAGAAGCATGCAGTATTTGTCCTTTTGTGCCTGGCTCATTTCACTTAGCATAACGTCCTCCAGGTTCATCCATGTTTGCTACATGGTTATAGCATGTGACAAGATGTCCTTCTTTTGTTGTGGTTGAATAATATTCCATTGTGTGCATACACCAGATTTTGTTTATTCATTTGTTTGTTGTTGGACACTTGGGTGGCTTCTACCTCTTGCTATTGTGAAAGGGGTGGGAGCTTGGCAGTTGAATGGGCCTGGGTTGGACCCTGGCTTCCAGCATCACTTGAGTTTCGAGTTTGAGTCCTTCATCACTTGCTAATGTGTCTAATGGGGTTGCTGGCAAGGATTGATATTGTGCATACAAAAACACCTGGCACATAGCAAGCTCCCAGGGAATGGTAGGTAGGATTTGTTCTCATTATCCGCTTTCCTTCTAGGGACAGATCCCTTTGGGGGTTTATAGGACTGTGGATCATTGGACCCACATACCCAAGCTCACCTCGACCCCCATCCATGAGGCCAGCTCAGCATCCGGTGAGTCTTAGAACAATGCAGCTGAAGAGCACCTAGGCCTAAAGAGGGGCAGGGACTAGCCCAAATTCACACAGTCAATGGCCATGCCAGGATTAAACCCAGATCTCCAGCCTCGCAGCCTGGGGACCTTCCTGGTGCCGTTCCCAGGATCCACAGGGCTCAAGCTTAGAAGGGACTGGCTCTCCAGGGGCCTGTGTCTAATTCTGCAGCATGTAGAGTTGTGGGTAGCGGGCATCTCGGGCTCATCTCTGATGGGCACGGGCAGGTGGCATCCACCAGGCACCTCTGATTATCACCTTAGCCCATGGCTATGGACAGTGGAGCTGCCCCAGTACGAGGAGCTCAAGTCAAACTCATTTGCATTATGCGGGCTTGTCTAAGTTCCCTGTGTTGCACCTGGGAGGTCATTCTTGGCTTTTGTTCATTAAGTTTTCCTTTGCTTATTCCTTCCCTCAGTCATTTATTCTGCATCACTCCCTGGGGCTTGCTGTGGGCTGGAGACAATCCGTGGAGGCGGTTAGTAAGGCATGATAGCGAACAGTGTGGATTCTGGGACTAAATTGCCTGGGTTCAAATCCTGGCTCTGCCAGTTACTAGCTCTGTGACCTTGGGCAAGTTGCTTAACCTCTCTATGCATCTGATTCTTCTCTAAGTGGGGGATAATGATGTTCTAGTTACTATGGTTGCATAACACATCACCCTGAAACTCACTGTCCTGTAGTCTTGGGGCTTTGCTCCTCCATGGCTTCCTCACAGCCTGGCAGCCTCCGAGCAGTCAGATGGTGTACATAGTGGCTCAGGGCTCCAGTGGGAATGTTCCAGTGAAGGAGGCAGAAGCAGCATCACCTTTGATAACCTGGCCTTGGAAGTCTTGTAGTGTCGCTCCAGCCATTAGTCCCCAACCCCAGATTCAAGTGGGGGTGACATAGACCCTGGCTCTCCATGAGAAGAGTGTCAGAGCTATTGTAAAAAGAGCAAGTGGGAAGGGAAGTGTTACTGCAGAAGTGTTTGGGAATACAATCTGCCATAGTCGTGAGAATTAGATGAGTCAAAACACGGGAACTGTCTAGAACAGCGCCTAGGTATTGCATATAAGAGGTAGTTGTATATATAGTCAAAAATAAGGGTGATTTTGAGCATATGTAATTTACTGTAATGTGCTGACTTTAGGACCTACTACAGAAGCCTATTCACTGAACTGCACCATTTCCCTTTTGGGTATTGAGGGATCTATAGGAGTTCACCAAGCAGAGACAAGTGAGGAGGCATTCCTTGCAGAGCAAACTTGAACTCGCTGTGTAAGGGTGTGGAGTTGAGTTGAGTTCCTGGGGGCAGGGACTTAGCTCCGGAACAAGTGAGGAGGCATTCCTTGCAGAACAAACTTGAACTCGCTGTGTAAGGGTGTGGAATTGTTGAGTTGAGTTCCTGGGGGCAGGGACTTAGCTCCGGGTGGCTGGAGCTCCCCTGAGGGGAGCTGGGGGAGGCCAGGAAGGTGAACTGAGGCAGGAGAAGAAAAGCTTTTTGCAAACAGGGTTTGATCCTGCAGGTCGCAGGGAGTCCTTAGCTTTTCCTCAGGCAGCCATGTGAAGGGCTGGAGTGCTCTAATGAGGAGCCACTTCTGAAGCGGCATCAGCAGGATGGGGAGGTATTGGACCACTTTAGTGGGGAATAAGGAGTGGACTTACGGGGGAATAGGGAGGCGTCAGGCATGATGGGGCTCAAACCCAGGTGTTTGCCTGGGGCATTTGTGCCAGCTTTGCATGTGATATACATACCCACCCTGGCTTGCTTTCCCTCATTTCTAGTATGATGCTTTGCGATTTTTCTCTGCTCAGAGCAGCTCTCCTGCAGGGGAAGGCCGAAGGGCTGGAGGGTGACTGTCTTGGAAGACTGGTGTGGAGGAGCCTGGCAGCCAACCCTGGGTTAGCAGGCAGGGCCTTCTCTGCTCCCTGCCCTATCTGTGGAGAATAGCTCTTACACCCTAATGGTCTCCCCTTCCAACACCCCTCCCTACTCTGCAGGCCTGCAGGGTCCAAATGGAACAGATCCTGGGGGTTGTAATATCCAGCTCCCCTCACCTCACAGATGGGGAAACTGAGGCTCAGTGACTTGCTCCAAATCCCGTAGTAAAGGAGCCAGTCCCAGGCTCTTCACGTGGCTGCAGCCAGGTGCCGTGGCACTGAGGGCTGCGTCCAGTTCAGGTGGGAACAGGTGCTCTTAAGGGGCAGGATGCCTCCCCGTTAGACCCTCCCCATCCCAATCTTTCCCTTGGGCCCCTCCTCATATGCAAGAGGAGGGCTGTACCTGCCCAGCCAGAGCTCAGAGCTTTTAGGATCAAGATCCCTCCTTCTTCCCAGCCCTCGTCCTGCCTTGACTCCCAGTCACAGCTCCAATGTCCCTTCTGAGTGACCTCGGCAGTTCCCTTTCCCAGGCACCAGAGAGAGAGAACTCAGCACTGGTGAGTTCACCTAATCCTCGGCCAACCCTGCTGGGCTCTGTGTTCTCCTACTCCTTTTACAGAGGAGAAAACCATGGCTCAGAGAGACGAGGTGACTTCCCCAGGGCCACACAGCTGCTAGTCCTTCTTTTCTTTCCTTGAAATCATGTCCCCAGCCACGACCTCCCTCTGGAGGGAGCACTGGCTGTTGAGGGTAGCTGGGAGGGGGCTTCAGGTGGAGTGGTGGGCATCTCCAGGTGGCTTGAGATGGGAAAGGGAGGAGCAGGTTTAGGGGGATGGGATGGGTTCCCATTTGGCCACTGTGGGTGTATGATTCCTCTGGGATATCCAGGGTGGGATGACCTGAGGTTCGTTGGGTATACTGGCCTTGAGCTTGGTCCAGGCAGAGACGAGTGGTGGATGATATCGCCCAAGGAGAGTGTGAAGGACAAGGGAGGGGACAGGGCTCACTCAGGATAAAGAGCAGCAGCATGGGTCCTGGACAGAGAGAGAAGCCAGCTTGGGGGAGCGGGGGGGGGGCTGACGAAGAGGGAATAGGGGAACCAGAGCAACTGGTGTTCTGGAAGCCATGGAAGGAAGGTGAGGCCCACAGTGTCAGGGAAGATTGGAAGCTGTCCGTTGAGCTTACTCACATGGAGCTCATGACTGAACTTGGGAACAGAGAGTAGTTGGTTTTGCAGCAACTGGGAGGGAGGAAGTGGAAACATGAGTGTAGACAACTCTTTGAGAAGTTGGGATGAAAAGGAAGGAAGGAAAGGGAGTGCTGGAAAGGGTGGAGGGGGACAAACTGGGTGAGACTCCAGCCTGTTTTGTGCTGCTGGGAGAGGGGAGAGGAGATGCAGAAGGCAGGGGTGCAGGGAGAGGCCTCATCTGTGAGCATCCACCATAGGCCTCTGCATCAAGGAGGGCTCCTAGGGGAGGTAGCTCTTGCTGGAGGGATGGTTGTGGAAAGTAGGGGCACAGGCGGTGGCACGGTGGCTCTCAGTACTGCCCTGAGCTCCGACAGGCTCCAGGGCCTCTGTCTACTCGGTGTGGGGAGGATGCAGGGCCCTCACCTGTGGAGACTTTGGACCTCCTAGGAGGCAGGAGCTGCACAAAGTCAGAGCATCTTCATAAACTAGGTCCCAGGTCAGTGGTAGAAGCTCAGGGCTGGGAGGGCTGGGCCTGCGGTGGTTTTATGTCTCCAGTGCTCACCAAAGTGGCTTCGTAAATGCTTCAAACGAGAAAGGCCTGGGAAGGTGAGGACATGGATTGGTCTGCTTCCAAAGAGGCCATGCTTTATCCCATCCCTGGCTCAGCTCCCAGTGACGGGGAAGTTCTTCCTCTGGATCTAGCCTAAATCTTTCCTGCTATGTGTTCCCTCCTGGTGAACTTGTTCAACCCAGCTCTGTGGAGCCAAACCCATCAGCCGGCCACTTTGAGTGGCGGCCAGTGTTTTTACAACTTGTTTTGATGAAGCCGGTTTGAAGTCTCCCTGCATTCCCAGAATGTCAGACCCGCCCTGATTCACAAGGGTTGACCAAAACAGTATCTGAGCCAACAGAGGAATCTGAGGACTTAGTCATCCCCCTTGGACCATCCACTGGTTCTCCTGCTTTCCTTCCAATAAAAAAAGAAAGAAAGTTAGCTCAGATGGCCAGGACGGAAGGCACTCGAGGATGTAAACAGGCTCAGATGATGCTGGTGGGCAGGGCTCAGGCCTCAGGCTTTGCACTGGGCTGACCCCAGTTCAAGTCTTGCCACAGGGAGGGGATCCTTGACAACTCTGTCTCTGAGCCTCACTTTTCTCGTCTCTGAAATGGGAAAGTTAATGGCACTTACCTCATCGGTTGGGTGATATAGAAATAGACCCTGAGACCCAGGATTTATTCAGAATGACTCATATCAGAAGTTTTCCAGGAAAGAAAAAAAAAAACCTGCTATGGGAATAGGAAAAAGAACCAGAAAGAGGAGAAGCAAGAATGTGATTTCAGGACAAACCCCTTGAGGGGAACTTAGCTTAGTTCCCAGCGCTCTCCGGACACGCAGCCAGGGCTGTGCCAGGGGCAAGGGCAAGGGCAAGGGCAAGGGACTTAGACCTCCACCCACCAGGTACTGGTAAAGGGGCACCTGGGGGACCGCTGGGCTGCAGGCAAGAGCATTCCAAGAGCCCGAGGGCAGTCACTCACGCACCTGTGCAGGTGTTGGCTGCTGGACAGGAACACACAAGCCAGTGTGCCCCAGAATGGTAAGAGGTCCCAAGAGACAGGGCGCAGCACGACAGAGCCTCTCCTGAGGATCAGTGTGCGGATTATGTGTGATAAAGTGTATACGGCGCTGGTGATGCAGAACCTGGCACGGAGGAAGCATTAGTCAGCCGCAGCGCGTCTCACCTGTTAGAAAGAGAGCTGCCGAACGGTGTCCTGGGGTTGTGTGGTCAGCGAGAGGCAGGGCCTCTGAGAGCTGCCCCGTGTCCCCTTTGCTCCCCGAGCCCCAGCTGCTCACTGTTTCTCAGCTTCTAGAGGCAGATCCCCACCGAACTCCCCAGCCCAGCCGACTGGGC